ATTATTTGTTTTGGTAAAGGCACATTATTTGTGATAGATTAGAGGCAGCCAAAACCACAGAAAATGAATCCGTTGAAAAGGTACTGACATCCTTCAACATGATAAACCAAATATCCATCTGCTCTTCTTTCCACTAACTTCCATCCCTCTATCAGGGAAAAGCAAATAATGAGCCAACCAGTTTTAGTTACAAAACTGCAGTAATTTGCACTGATACTTCTGTTTGTGTTCAGCTACGTCAATGAGACTGAAATGCTGATGTTGTAAATGTTAAAAAAGGAATCCTTGCCCTACTTCTGTTGTTTTGCTTTTCTCACAGTGGCTGCTTCTCATGCTGTATTAATGCCTGATTATTTCTCAGCCTTACATTTCCCAACCTGTGTTGCATTAAACAGGTTTAAATAGACTCACAATTTGGAAGAAAGTGAGATTATTCCCAGTTTGGAGTCTGTCAGTGTTACTGCTGCCTTTCTAATGAAAGATTTTAAAATTTGGATTGTCTCAATCCATCGTCTTCTGGGTACTGCTGTTATTGTGCTTGTCTATTAATGTCTGATCAGTCTTTCTGCACCCTTATTCTTTACATTTCACTTTCTCTATGGAATCATAGAATTTTACAATACAGAAGAAGGGCATTCGGCCCATTGTGTCTGTAACAGCTCCTGAAGGAGCTACCCAGCTAGTTCCACTCTCCAGCCCAATCTCCACCAATCTTACTTGCAAACATAGATCAGGCTCTCTTTTGAAACCTTGAATGGAATCTGCCTCCACCACTCTCCCAGGCAGCACTTCCAAATCCTAACAAATATCTGAATAAAAACGTTTTCTCCTCATCTTACTCCTAGTACTCTCGCTCACAATCTTGAAATTGTGACCCCAGTTACTGACATACCAACTAGTTTAAACAGAGTACCCATCTTTATTCTGTCAATATTGTTCATAATTTTGAACATGTCAAAAAGGTCACTTCTTAATCTTCTGTGCTCCAAGGGGAATAAGCCCAATTTCTCTAACTTTTCTTTGTATCTAAAACCCCCCCCATTCCTGGTATCGTTCTAGTAAAGCTCCTTTACACTCTTTCCAAGTCTTTAACATTATTCCTTAAATATAGTGCCCAGAACTGAACATAATACTCCAAATGTGGTCTGACCAATGATTTGTAGATATGTAGCATCACTTCCTTGCTTTTATACCCTATGCCTCTATTTATAAACCCAATGATCCTATAAGCCTCTTAACAACGGTTTCAGCTTTCCTGGCAACCTTCAGAGAATTACGCACTTGAACCCCATGGTCCCTCCATTCCTGTACTCCCCTCAAAGTTATACCATTGACCCTGTATTGTCTCTCCATGTTTCTTCTATAAAAATGCAATAACTCACATTTCTCTGCATTGAATTTCATTTGCAAGGTGTCTGCCCATTTTTGTCCCTCTGAAGTCACTCAGCATCATCCTCACAATTCACTATTGTCCCTAACTTAGTATCTGCAAATTAGGGATTTTGCCCTCAACACCCATCTCCAAATCATTTAAATAAATCCAGAAACAGCAAAGATCCCAACACTGATCCCTGGGAAACACCACTTTCACCCCATCTCCAGTCTGAGAAATGCCATCCAAATCTACTCTTTGTTTCCTATCTTTTAGCTAACTTCAATAAATGCTGCCGGGATTCAACAATCCCATTTATTTTTCCTTTCAGTATCTGTCACCAATTTATCTGTATAGGGGTATCTGCTCCTTTACTTCTTCCCTAAATGTTTTGCCAAGTTGAGAAATGCTTCAAATAATCAGCTCCAGTTCCAGTCAGAGTCTGCATCCTGGGTTTGGAGTTCCTGGTGTAAGAGGGACATAGTTAATTGAATCACAGAATAAATAATTCTCTTTTGAAAACTAGTCTTCAATCTGTATTTGTCTCCCTATCAGGCAGTGCATTGGAAATCCTAACCACTCAGGTTTAAAAAAGGTTTTCCCTGATATCTCTAGTTCTTCAGCTACCAGCCTGAAATCTGTGCGCACTCATTATCCATCTTTCAGTCACTGGAAACAGTTTCTCTTTGCTTATTCCGTCGAAACTCTTCAAGATTCTAAGCTCCTCTTTGAAACCACTTTCTGACCTTCTCTATTTGGAGGAGAGTGCAGCACCTCCAGACCATCCACATCTATAAATTCTTGTTCTTGGAATCTCTTCTCAAGAGCTTTTGCGTTTCTCCGAAAGCACAGAATGGGATATAACACTCAAGGTGAAACCAAACTTGTGCTTCTTGCTTTTGTACTCTATGCCTCTATTTATAAAGCCTAGAATCCCCAAGCTTTATTAATGCTTTGTGCACCTTCAAAGATTGATGCACAAACTCCCCTTAACCTCTGTGTTCTTTCACTCCCATTAATTGTAGGTCATTGTGAGTCCACAGATTCAATTTGCCAAATGTTCCAGGCTCAAGGAGTTGAATGACCCTCTTCTACTTCCAATGTCTACTCTATGTTGGCAGGCTCCAGAGACCAGCAGGCCACCATTTCATATTGAACTTTTTCAGTTAGCAATGAGAGAGGAGACCCAGAGATAAATTCACTGCTTCCAATGAGGAGAGTATGGTTACAGATAAAACTCAAAAAATCTTAACTTTGTTTTCTAACGCACCCTTTCTCTGAGCATGGATTGTCAATTCATTGATGTTTCCATCAGCCTGAATGGGAGTCAAAGCCACAGGTGAGAGGATTTATTCTGCCAGGGACATCTTGTTCAAAGGTAAAGGAACTGCTTTATGCCTTTTGGATATCAATGTTGTTGCTAACTTATTTAATTTTAGTGAAATTTTGGCCTCAAACTGTTGGGCTTGCCACTAATTAAAGGATACAGAGACCAGAAAGGTCCAGCTTTAATCCTGGCATCATTGCTGCAAAAGTGATTTGATAAAAAACATTTTCACGTAGCCAGTGGTTAGGATCTGGAATGCAGTGCTTGAGACTGTGTTGGAGCAGGCTCCGTCAGAGCGTTCAAAAGAAAATTAGATTATTATTTAAAAAGGCAGAACATGCAGGGTTATGGGAAAAAGGCGGAAAATGAGTGATTTGATTTAGTTATTGATTTATTTATTTATTGTCATGTTTATCTTGTTACAAAATACAGTGAAAAGTGTTGTATGGTGTTGCCACTGTCTGGTGCCATCTTAAAACACAGAAAAATAAACCAAAACATAGAACATAAAGGCAGAACAGTATAGAAATAAAGAAAAAGTGTTCAACTTTACAGTCCTTGTTAAGTGTTCCGCCATCCCCTTCACTGAGCTGCCACTAGTGGAATGAAGGCTGCCACTCTTCAGTGCCATCTTGCCTCCACTGACACCCTCACCACTATGAGTCCTCACTGGACCAATGCAGTGCCACTGTAGCTGCCAGGTTCCGCGCTGGCCCAAACTCGACTCCACCGCCAGCATGAGTCCACTTTGGGCCCACCTCGCTGATGCCACCATTGCCGATGCCGCTGGGTCTCTTACTGGGCCAAACAGGCCTCTGCCACTGGCATCATGAGACGGCACCAGGACTGCCTCTTCGATGTAGAAGCTGCTGGGAAACTAAACCCGCTTCTGACATCGCCGCCACAAGTACACACTGCTGGTCTCACTCGGCATCGCCAATGCCATTGCCACAACTCAGCTCTTCAACAAGACGTAAGTAAAATAAAAAAGAAAGAAAGAAAAGAAACTGAGAAAAGATAGAAAAGAAGGTAAAGAACTGAGAAGAAAAGCAGACAGAGTGGACAAACCCCGAGTTCAGAATCCCTATCCCACTGCCATCTTACCAAATTAATCTTTTGGGACAGTCTGTGCAGAAATGATGGGCCAAATGGCCTCCTTCTGTGCTGTAAAAATTCTGTGGTTCTGAATCTTTCATGTGTGACAAGATCATTAACAACGTTCCTATCCTCATGAGAGTCAAAAGCAGATCCCTTTATAAGTCAGGCTGCAGGTTTAGAATGAGACTGAAGCTTCCGATAATCCAAAACCCAGTCCTGCTCAGGGAGGTGGCAACGTATTGGTAATTTCTCTGGACTAGTAACCCAGAGTGTCCGGTTCATGCTTTGGGGACATAATTCAAATTCTGTCATAAAAGAGTGTGTAAAGTTTGAGTAATGGTGACCATGGCAACTATCATCCTTTTTAAAATTCATCTGACTCACTAATGCCCTTTCAGGAAGGAAACTGCCATCCTTATTTGGTCTGGCCTACATGTAACTCCAGACCCACAGAAACTTGGTTGACTTTTAACTGCCCTCTGATGAGAGTAAGCCACTCAGTTCTAGATGGGCACCAAAATGAGGAATGGCTTTGCCACTGATGTCAACATCCCTAATTATTCTCCAGTGTTATCAAAATCCAGAACAATTCCCCAGTTTTATCCAGCAAGATACTCAGTTCAAGGGCAGTCAGGGATAGCAACAACTGTTGGCCTTTCCAGAGTTGAAAAAGTCAAGAGAGAAAGAGCTCTGTATCGAGGCTGAAACATGTGGTCAGGCAGTGGGACCAAATGGGCAGCCGCTGCCCTTGGGACTACACCTCAACATTCACCGCATTCTCCTTCCATTCACCGATTGAATAGCTTCACCTGCTTTCATATTCTATTTTCTGAACACCTCTGTCAGATTTTATCGTTTTCTTGCCGTACCTGTCAACACATTACATCGCTTGGAATATAACCCCAAACTGATCTCTAGGCTAGAACAAACGTATGCAGCATAATCAAGCAGATCAGTCATTGGCACACAGATTCACTTCTTACATTTGGAAGCAGCAAAGCTGTCACTCCGATAATGCACAGCAGTGTTGTACAGCCGGCCACTGCAGTTGACTTAATTAAAATCTCATTCCAGGAAAGGTAAGCAGATACTGCTGCACAGATGCTGCCCTCAGAAGATAGCTCTGCTAATGAAGGCTGTCACTAACTTTAACCTCCTCTTTATATTTCACCTCCCCCTCTTCCCCAACTCCTCTCTGTGTAGATGATGGGGAAATTGTTCTCTGGAATTGCTCAGTCTGGAGCATGGTTCTGCTTTGATGAGTTTAATCGGATTGACGTGGAGGTCCTGTCAGTAACTGCCTCACAGATCCTCACCATTAAGGCAGCAAAAGACAGTGAAGCAATGAGGTGAGCACGTCAAATTCAGCTAAAACATTCATAATTTTGTGTAAATTCCCATGCTGGCTGGGGCATAAATATATCCATAACAACAGCAATGTACATTTAGATAGCATCTATAACACTGAAACACCCCAAGGCCCATTAAAAAGCCATTATCAAACAAAAATGTGAAACCAAGCCACACAAGGAGATATTCGGACAGGTAATCAAAGGTGTGGTCAAAGGGTAGGTTTTAAGAAGTGTCACGGACAAGGATAGAGAAGGAGAGGAGGAAATTCCAAAATATAGGTCACAGGCAATTGAAGGTGTCCCTGCCAGTGGGAGTGTTGGGTATGTGCAAGAGGCCAGAGTGGCAGGAATGCAGTTGCTTGGAGGGTGATCTGGCTGAAGGAAGTCACAGACATAGCGAGAGGCAAAGTGATGGAGGGATTTCTAAATAGAGATGAGAATTTTAGAATGAAGACACTAGTCTGATGGTAACAAAGGCATCTTCCTCAGGGCCCTTAAGCTAGCCGCTGAGGTAGATAAAGTAGTTAAGAGGGCATATGGGATACTTGCCTTTCTGAGCCAAGACATAAGATTTAAGAGCAGGGAGTTGATGTTGGATCTGTATAAAGCGTTGGTTAGGCCATTGTGAGAGTGTTGTGTGTAGTTCTGGAATCCACGTTCCAGGAGTAATATGATAGCTGAGGTTGGTTGGCTCGCTGAGCTGGTTTGTTGTTCCGCAGACATTTCATTACTCTGCTGGGTAACATCATCAGTGCAGCCTCCGATGAAGCGTAGGTGTGTTTTCCCGCCCGGTTTTTAAACTCTGGAATCCGTTGAGCTGGATTGCCTCACTTCCGGTTTTCCTTCGTAGTGGAGTGTATATGGGCTCGAGTTCTATGTGTTTATTGATGACTTTCTTCGTGGAGTACCAGACTTCTAGGAATTCCTGTGCCTGACCCTGCTTAGCTTGTCCCAGGATTTTGGTGTTGTCCCAGTTGAATTGGTTCTCCTTGTCCATGTGGATTGAGATGAGTGAGTATTGGTCGTGTCTTTTTGTAGCCAGTTGGTGTTCATGTACTCTTGTTGTTAGTTTCCTTCCTGTTTGTCCGATGTAGTGTTCCTCGCAGTCCCTGCAGGGGATCTTATAGATGACATTTGTCCTGTCCATGGTGGGGAGTGGGTCTTTAGTTCGGGTGAGCAGTTGTCGTAGGGTTGATGTGGGCTTGTGTGCCATTCTGATGCCCAGTGGTCGTAGGAGTCTTGCGGTCAGTTGATAGCATTGGAGAGGGTGCAAAGGAGATTTACCAGAATGTTGCCTGGGGTGGCAAGTTTCAGTTACAAAGAAAGATTGGACAGACTGGGGTTGTTTTCCGTGAAGCAGAGGAGACTGAGAAGGGACACAATTGAGATGTATATAATTATGAGGGATATACACAGAGTAGACAGGAAGAAACTTTTTCTCTTGAGGGAGAAATCAATGATAGGGAGCATAGATTTAAGGCAAGGTAGAGGAGGTTTAGAGAGGATGTGAGAAATCCAGAGGGTGATGGGAATCTGGAACTCACTGCATGTAGGTGTGGTAGAGACAGGAACCCTCAGAGCATTTAAGAAGTACTTAGATGTGCACTTGTGCTGCCAAGACGTACAAGGCTAGGGGCCAAGTGCTCAAAAATGTGATGAGAGAAGTTATGTTGTTTTTGACCACACAGACTTGATTGCTGAAGGGCATTTTTCTGTGCTGTAGATCTCTGACTCTAAGGACTGTATTAAACAGTATTATGAGTCAATCAACCTTAGGATTCCTGTTGAAAGTATCTCAGGGCCCCCATTAAACATTATTAAATGCAAATCACCCTCAGAATCCTTTATAAAATGCAAAAGTTATATCATTGTTTGGGTTCATTTTAAACAGCACTAAAATGGTAGCATTCTTAGTGTCTTTATTGATTGGTAATACAATTGTAATCTGCTTGTTAGCAATGCTAAAAGTTTATTATCATCATGGGTTTTATTAACTGTACAGCAGAATACCTGAAAGCTACACTAGATATTCAAACACCAGAGTAGTTTAAAGCAGCAATGTTTGACAGTGTATAAATGTGGCTTGTGGATATAATATACTTTATACTTTCAACTTTATATACATTCCAGCCACTTGCCAGCAGTCAGTTCCAGTATGAGAGCATAGTACAGGCAGTTTACATGATGTTTCTTGCACTCAGAAGCACCCAAATGCGTTTGAACACCTGAGTGTGTTCATGTGTCTCAAGGTTGTCGAGTACCCAACTGTGTTCTTACACCTATGTTTGTTTGAGTGCCCAAACATGTTTGAGCACACAACTGTGGTTTTGCATCAGACTGTGTTCGAGCAGCCAAGTATGTTCAATGCCCAAGTGTAACTGAACACCTCAGTGTGTTCTCTCATCAATTACGGCGAAGGATGGAGTGGTGACACACCTTAGATCAGGTAATACAAACTCGATCAAGGCCAAGTGGGTGTGATGTCAGGTGAAGCAGGTATAGGGACCCTTGACCTCTGAAACTGTCCAAGAGTTACAAGGTTCCTGCAAGCTGTGCAGACAGGGAGGTCTGCGGAGAGGATGAGTGAACTGATCATGGCACAATGATAGCGGGAGCCATTCAAGTACTGGCAGAAAATAGGAAAGTAGTGGTGGTAATGGACGGTATAATTAGGGAGATAGATACTCTTCTCCGAGCAGGAGTCCCAACGGCATTTGCAAAAACAGAAATTGCTGGAGAACCTCAGCAGGTCTAGCAGCATCTGTGGGAAGAAAGCAGAGTTAACATTTTGGGTTCAGTGACCCTTCATCAGAATCTGAAAGCTGTGGTGCTTGCACAGTGGTAGGATTAAGGACACCTCCTCAGAGCTAGCATCCAAGTTAAGCAGGTAATAGGAAAGGCAAATGAAATGTTGGCATTATTTCAAAAGGAATGGAGTATAAAAATAGGAAGGTCTTACTAAAACTATACAAGGCAGTAGTCAGACCACAGCTGGAATATTTAAAATAGTTTTGCATCCCTTATCTAAGGAAAGAAAGACTGTCATTGGAAACAGCACATAGAAGGTTCATTAGGCTGATACCAGTACAGAGTGAATTTTTTATAAGGAGAGATTGGAAATGTTGGACATGCACTTTTTGAAGTTTAGAAGAATGAAAGCAACTTTAATAAAACATGTAAGATTCTTGGGGGACTTAACATGGTAGATGTGGAGAGGTTGTTTCCCCTTGTGGGAGAATCTAGGACCAGACAGTGTAATCTCAGAGTAAGCAGCGCCATTGAAGATAGAGCTGAGGAGGAATTTCTTCTCTCAGGGTATAATGAATCTGTGGAACTCTTTACCACAGAGGACTGTTGATGCTGAACCATTAAGTATATACATATATGGTAAAAAGTATGTATCTGAGGGAGACAGATTTCTAATCATTAATAGAATCAAGGGTTTGGGGGATAAGTGATAATGTTGAATTGCTTATTATCAGATCAACCATACAATGTCACTGAATGGCCGAGCAGATTTGATGGTCAAATGGCCTACTTTTACTCCCATGTCGAATGGTCTAATGGAGTGCACTGCATTTTGAACACACAGTTAGAAGCTCTGTCTCTCTCTTACTCAGCCTCCCAAAAAAAAGCTTGGTGATAAAATAAATACAAGAAACATATGTTTACCAACAATGCAAGAGTATCTACGAATACCATTACTGCTGAACGTATAAAGCAATTAAACAACAGTGGTCATAGATTAAAGCTTAGTATCTCAAGTGTTCTAAGGATTTTTTGAACTGCCAATCTAGATCTTTCTTTTTGCAGAGAGATACTCTCTCCTGCTTAAGTTTCATACCTCTGTGTGTGATGTCACATTTTATAATTTTTCTCAGGGCTAGCAGTTAATAAAATTCCTTTCTTTTATCCATGAAAGCCTTGTAATTGGCTTCTTAATTTTGACTAATGTGTGCTTTAATTGAAATGGGATGTAGCTGTGTGCTAAAAATAATTTATAATCTTCATTGCAGCTGACCAAAGGGTTAAACAAGTAGGATACTGATTCACCCCTCCTCAGGTGGTTGTAACAGAATGGAGAATAATGTTCAAAAGGCAGAATTATAGGCAGTCAGTCTGAATGCAGGTAGCATTCACATAATGTAAATGGGTAAAAGTTAATTCCTACTACAGATACATGGCTACAGTGGGATCAAAATTGGGAACTGAATATAGATAGATTTAAAGGAAAAAGGGGTAAGATAGCACCCTTAATAAGAAACTAGATCACTACATTAGTAAGGTCAGATCTGAGATCAAAGTAGAATAAATTTGGGTGGAGCTAAGAAACTGAAAAGGGCAACTAACATTGTTTATGAGCCTCCAAACAGAAGTAGTAATTGTGGGCATTGTATAAATCAGGAAATTAAAGATGCATGTAATGCAGTGATACGTTAATAATGACAACTTAAATTTACATATAGACTGGGTAAACCTCATCAGCACCAATTCTGTGGAGGTTGAATTACTGGACTGTGCATGATATAGCTTTCTGGGACATTACTTTGACAAAACAATAATGGGTCAGGCTCTTTTAACTTTAGTACAATGTATGCAAAAGGGCTAATTAATAACCTTGCTGTAAAGGACCTTCTGGGAAATGGTGACCATAATATGAGAGAATTTGACATTAATTTTAAATGTGATATAGTTCATTCTGAAACCCAGGTCTTAAATTGGAACAAAGGAAACTATGAAGGAATGAGAAGCATGTTGGCTGTAGTGGACTGGGAAAGTGCACTAAAAGATTTAATGGTAGACAGAAAATGGCTGGTATTTAATGAAATACCACAGAGTCTGCTATGGATATACATTCCTTGAAGGCACAAACACCCAAAGAGAAAGGTGAATTAACTGTGGCTGATTAAATAAGTTAAAGCCTGCATTAGATCAAAGGAAGTAGTTTATAAAGAAGTGGTAAGCCTGAGGAGGATTGGGCAAAATTTAGAACCCAGCAAAGAAAGACCAAGAAACTGATAAAGAAAGCGTAAAGAGTCATAGAATTATAGAGTCATATAGCATAGAAACAGGCCATTTGGCCCACCATGTCTATGCCAACCAACAAACACCAAACTACTCAAATCTGCATTAAGAGAATATGAGTACAAGCTAGGGAGAAATGTGAAGCTGGCTGTAACATTTTCTTTAAGTATGTGAGGAGGAATATATCAAATAGGACAAATGTAGGTCTATGACTGGTGGAGACAGGAGAGTTTATAATGGGGAGGAAGGAAATGGCAAAGAAACTAAGTAATTACTTTGTGTCTGTCTTCATGAAAGAAATTAAAGAAAACTTTCCAGAAAATCTAGGATCAACTTGTGAAATGGAGGAAATGAAAGAAATTAATGTCAGTAAAGAAACAGCACTTGAAAAATTAACTGGATTGAAGGTTGGTAAATCCCCTGGACCAGATGATCTACACATCAGAGTGTTGAGGAAGGCTATTGGATGCATTGATAGTTATCTTTCAAAATTATACAGATTTTGGGAAGATTCTTTCAAACTGGAAAGTAGCAAATGAAGCCCTGCTATTTTTAATAATACTCACCTTGTTCAAAGGTGTTATGGCACACTTCCTAGGCAGGTGAGACTTGAGCCCAGAGTTAGGGATACCAACACTGTGCCACAAGACCCTAAAAACATGCAAGACAACTTGAGTTAGGGATGTTGTGTCTGATCCCAACAGGACCATGAGCTAGACTCCTCAATTCTCCACCCAAGACTGTATAATGGCATCAGTTTGGGTGGAGCTGAATGCAGTCTTTAATATAAATCCTTTCAGAATCAGTGTCTGTTAAAATAGTCTGAGCAATCAAGTCAAATTGCTACCATTGCTTGCCATGGTGTGTAAGCATGCCAGCTCACTAAACTGTCAGAGCAGCTGTTCATCATAAAGGTTGTTGCCACTGTGCTGTTTAAGTGTACAAAACTCCAGGGGCTGCTTGGTCTAGTGTAATTGTGTAAAACACTTCCTGCTTTAACTAGGAGAGTCTCTTGTCATTAACAGTGTGTGGTCTATTGCAATATAGCAACTAATTGCCAGTTATATTGCTGTGATAGACATTGTTACAGTAACTTTGACGATGACATGAAAATTCACTCTCACTCCTTCGAGATCCTAATGTGGTGAAAAGCCCATCTGACATCATCATTGTTGGGTGGTGCATGTGGCACTCCTCAGAATTAAACCTTTTCAGACTCATAGGCAATAAACACGACTTAGTGTGGAATGATATGCTTGCAGCCAATCAGTCAGCTTCTTCAGGTATGAGAGTCACTGTATTATTTAAGCAAAGTCAGAAGTCACACCTGATGAAGGCCATGATGTGGAGGTGCCGGTGTTGGACTGACGAAGGAGCAGCGTTTCGAAAGCTTGTGTGTTTTCAAATAAACCTGTTGGACTACAACCTGGTGTCATGTGACTTCTGACTTTGCCCACCCCAGTCCAACACCAGCACCTGCACATTATTATTTAAACAAAGCAGATGATTAATTAACAGTAGTTTTCACGCCTGTGTGATATTTTACAATTTATCATTTCCAATCAATTCTATGTTTGTTTCTTGCCTTCCAGATTTGTGTTTGAAGGCCGTGAAATCCGACTAAATAAGTCCTGTAGTTTCTTCGCAACTATGAACCCTGGGTGAGCAGCAATTGAATGAGAAATGTTTCAAAGCATTTACATTGCATTAAGATAACAAGGTGTAGAGCTGGATGAACACAGCAGGCCAGGCAGCATCAGAGGAGCAGGAAAGCCGATGTTTCGGGTCTGGACCCTTCTTCAGAAATGGGGGAGGGGAAGGGGACTCTGAAATAAATAGAGAGAGGGGGAGGCGATGATGGATGGTGGATAGAGGAGCAGATAGATGGCCACTGAGGTCTTTCCGAGGGAGGAGGGTAACTTCTTCAAGGTAGGCATCCTTAGAAGAGGTTTCAGTGGGGTTAAAACTCACTCAGGGATAGTAGGAACTGCCGATGCTGGAGTCTGAAATAACAAGGTGTATATCCCCCTTCGCCTCCCCTCTCTCTATTTATTTCAGAGTCCCCTTCCCCTCCCCCATTTTTGAAGAAGGGTCCAGCCCTGAAATGTCAGCTTTTCTGCTCCTCTGATGCTGCCTGGCCTGCTGTGTTCATCCAGCTCCACACCTTGTTATCTCAGACTCCAGCATCGGCAGTTCCTACTAGCTCTACATTGCATTAAGTGCTATTTGGAAACTTGATATTTTCAGAATTTTTCCAATTGCGATGATTTTTATTCTTATTCATTCATGCGATATGTGCATTGCTGGCTGGCCATCATTTAAGAACATAAGACATTTAAGTTTACATATAGACTGGGTAAATCTCACCAGCAGTAATTCTGTGGAGGTTGAATTACTGGACGGTGTGTGAGACGGCTTACTGGGACACTGTGTTGAAAAATACAATAATGGGTCAGTCTCTTTTAACTTTAGTACAATGTAATGCAAAAGACCTAATTAATAATCTTGCAATAAAGGACTCTCTGGGAAATGGAAACTGTGGTATGAGAGAATTTGGCATTAACTTTGAGTGTGATAGTCACAAGAGCTCACTGTGTATGTAGGTGTTGAAATTGGCATAAATAGGGAATTGGCTAATGGGCAGGAAACAGCAGGTGAGGAAAAGGGTTTTTTTTTGGGTTGGCATCCTGTAACCAGTGGGGTCCCACGGGGATCAGTGCTGGGACTGCAACTGTTTACAATATCTATTAATGACTTGGGGAAAGGAAGCCAATGTACTGTAGTAAAATTTGCAGATGACAGAAAAATAGGTGGATAAGCAAGTTTTGACATGGATGCAAACAGTTTAGAGAGATATTGAAAGGTTACATAAGTGGGCCAAAAGTTTGCAAATACAATATAATGTGGGGAATTGTGAAATTGTTCATTTTGGAAGAGAGAACAGAAGAATAGAGTATTATTTAGGCGGAGAAACAGAACTAAAAGCTGCAACACAGAGGGACTTGGGGGTTGTGCACAAAACACAGGCACATCAGGTAATCAGGAAGGCTAATGGAATGTTGGCACTTATTTCAGGAGGTTTGGAGTATAAGAGTAAAGAAGTCTTACTGCAATTGTACAAGATGCTGGTGAGACCACATCTGGAGCACTGTGTGAAATTTTAGTCCATTATTTAAGGAAAGATATTATTTCATTGGAAGCAGTTCAGAGAAGGGATTGTCTTTTGTGCAGAGGTTAAATAGGTTGGGACTCTACTCACTAGAATTTAGAAGAATGAGAGGTGATCTCATTGAAACATATGGGATTCCTAAGGGGCTTTGACTGGGTAAATGCTGAGAGGATTTTCCCTTACCCAATTGAACCTCTCTTCCTCTGAACTGACTGCACTCTGTGCTCTCATATCTAATGCTGACTTTGTAATTAAGCCTGCGGCAAATGTGGTGCTGTTGTTGTCTGGCATACTGACCTCGACATTGCAGAGGCTGAGCACCAGCTCTCAGATGCCTCCTCCAATCTCCCACTGACCATGACCCCATCATGAAACATCAGGCCATCGTGTCCACAATAGTCACTCATTTCATTTCATCTGGTGATCTTCCCCCCAGTGCCTCCAAGCTCATAGTCCCCTAACCCTGCAGAGCCCACTTCTATCTCCTTCCCAAAATTCACAAGCAGGACTGCCCAACTGACCCATTGTTTTTTCCTGCTTCTGTCCTACAGAACCATCTCGTCCTACCTCGACTCGATTTTCTTTCCTTTTGTCCAATCCCTTCCCACTAACATCCACAATTCTACTGATACTTTCCATCAGTTTCAGAATTCCCAGTTCTCGTGCTCCAGCCACCTCCTCTTCACTGCGGATGTGCAATCCTTTACAAAAGGAATGAGGTCCTGAAAGTGAATCTAGGGGGTTAGTTTGGAAGCTAAAAGGCAGGACGAGCAGAGTAGTAACCTCAGGTGCCACGGGCTAGTGAGGCTAGGAATAGAGAGCGAGTGCAGCTGAACACATGACTACAGAGCTGGTATAGGAGGGAGGGCTTCAGACATGTGGATCATTGGGATACCTTCTGGGGAAGGTGGGACCTGTACAAGAAGGACAGGTTGCACCTGAACTAGAGGGGCACCAATATCCTGGGCAGAAGGTTTGCTAGAGCTCTTTGGGAGGGTTTAAACTAGTTTGGCAGGGATGGGAACCGGAGCTACGGACCAGAGGATGGGGTAGCCGGTGTACAGGCAGATACAGCAAGCAGAGAATCTGTGAGGAAGGACAGACAGTTGATAGGGCAAAGTTGCAGTCAGTGCGACGGGTTGAGATGTGTCTATTTTAATGCAAGAAGGGTCAGGAATAAGGGTGATGAACTTAGAGCATGGATCAGTACTTAGAGCTACAATGTTGTGGCTATTACAGAGACTTGGATAACACAGGGGCAGGCATGGTTCTTGGATGTTCCAGGGTTTAGGTGTTTCAAAAGAAATAGGGAGGGAGGTAAAAGAGATGGGGGAGTGGCATTGCTAATCAGGGATGGTATCCTAGCTGCAGAAGGGGAAGTCATCAAGGAGAGTTTGTCCACTGAGTCAGTATGGGTGGAAATCAGAAACAGGGAAGGAGGAGTCACTTTATTGGTAGTTTTCTATAGACCCCCCAATAGCAACAGAGACACTGAGGAACAGATTGGGAGGCAGATTTTGGAAAGATGCAGAAGTAATAGGGTTGTTGTCATGGGTGACTTCAACTTCCCTCATATCAACTGGAACCTCCTAAGTTTGAATGGAGCAGATTTTGTCAGGTGTATCCAGGAAGGATTCCTGACTCAATGTGTAGATTGGCCAACGAGATGGGAGGCTATATTGGATTTGGTGCTTGGCAACGAACCAGGCCAGGTGTCAGATCTCTTGGTGGGAGAGCATTTTGGTGATAGTGATCACAACTCCCTGACCTTTACTGTGGTTATTGAGAGGGATAGGAGTAGATGGTATGGGAAATTATTTAATTGGGGGAGGGGGAATTACAATGCAATTAGGCAGGAACTGCGGAACATAAATTGGGATCAGATGTTCTCCGGGAAATTCACGACAGAAATGTAGAGGTTATTTAGGGAGCAGTTGTGACAAGTACTGGATAGGTTTGTCCCACTGAGGCAAGGAAGGGATGGTAAGGTGAAGGAACATTGGATGACAAGACATGTGGAACATCTAGTCAAGAGAAAGAAGGAAGCTTACTTAAGGTTGAGGAAGCAAGGATCGGACAGGGCCCTAGAGGGTTACAAGGCAGCCAGGAAGGAACTGAAGAATGGACTTAGGAGAGCTAGAAGGGAACATGAAAAAGTTGTGGCGGGTAGGATTAAGGAAAACCCCAATGCGTTCTATACTTATGTGAGGAACAAGAGGGTGGCCAGAGTGAGGGTAGGGCCGATCAGGGATAGTGGAAGGAACTTGTGCCTGGAGTCAGAGGAGGTAGCGGAGGTCCTTAATGAATACTTTGCTTCAGTATTCACCAGTGAGAGGGACCTTGTAGTTTGTGAGGACAGCGTGAAACAGTTGGATATGCTCGAACAGGTTGATGTTAGGAAGGAGGATATGCTGGAAATTTTGAAAAACGTGAGGATAGAGAAGTCCCCGGGCTAGCCGGGATATACCCAAGGTTTCTATGGGAAGCGAGGGAAGAGATTGCTGCCCCTTTGGCAATGATCTTTGTGTTCTCACTGTCCACTGGAGTAGTACCAGATGACTGGAGGGTGGCAAATGTCATTCCCTTGTTCAAGAAAGGGAATAGGGATAATCCTGGGAATTACAGACCAGTCAGTCTTTCTTCTGTGGTGGGCAAATTATTGGAGAGGATTCTGAGAGATAGTATTTATGATTATTTGGAAAAGCACAGTTTGATTAGAAATAGTCAGAATGGCTTTGTGAGGGGCAGGTCATGCCTCACAAGCCTTATTGAATTCTTTGAGGATGTGACAAACACATTGTTGAAGGTAGAGCAGTGGATGTGGTGTATATGGATTTTAGCAAGGCGTTTGATAAGGTTCCCCATGGTAGGCTCATTCAGAAAGTAAGGAGGCATGGGATTCAGGGAAATTTTGCTGCCTGGATACAGAATTGGCTGTCCAATAGAAGACAGAGGGTGGTAGTAGATGGAAAGTATTCAGCCTGGAGCTCGGTGACCAGTGGTGTTCTGCGGGGATTTGTTCTGCGACCTCTGCTCTTTGTGACTTTTATAAATGACTTTGATGAGTAAGTGGAAGGGTGGGTTAGTAAGTTTGCCGATGACACGAGGGTTGGTGGAGTTGTGGATAGTGTGGAGGGCTGTTGTAGGTTGCAATGGGACATTGTCAGGCTGTTGTTTGACTGGTCTGTGAGACAGCTGTCCCAATTTTGGCACTAACCCCCAAACATTGGTAAGGAGGGCTGTTTCTGCCAACATCTTTTCTGGTGCCTAGTTTGATGCCAGGTGGTCCGTCTGGTTTCATTTCTTTTTTGAGGCTTCATAGTGGTTGATATGATTGAGTGGCTTGCTAGGCAATTTCAGAGGCAGATGTGGGTCTGGAGTCACATGTAGGCCAGACCAGGTGAGGATGGCAGATTTCCTTCCCTGAAGGACATTAGTGAACCAGATTTTTTTTTCCCGACAATCGACAATGGTTTCATGGTCATCAGTAGA